GGGGGGTTCCTGTGCAGAGATATTTCTGAAAGCGCTCTTCACAGCTCAATCCCACTTTGCATAACTATTTCTAGATAATGTTTGCAACGTACTAAAATATTATTGTGATATTGTAATAATTTTTCTGTCAGTGTAAAAAAGATTGACAATATCATTCTGATTTGTGATAATTTTTTAGTCCAAAGTATCGTATATGACACTAAAAGGGCAGTTACAAGTAAAGTATGAGACATAGGAAAGTAAATATTTAATTCGTTGCAGGTTGTATATACAAAAGTACTGTGTGATAGTATTAAGGCTGTATCAATTCAATCTTTTTCAGAATACCTGCACACAATTTGCGTGAATTTTGGTCTGTCAAACCCTTTGCGTCTAAAACGTTTTTAAAAATTGAAAGTGAAATCATATAGGGATAGCGTGTTTCTGTTTCTTGACCCATACTAGTTATTGGGAATCCCAGTATACTTAATTTAGAGCCCAAACAAAATTGTTCCCTTCAGCTGTACCTAGTTCCCCTTAAACGGTTATTAATAACTCTAGAAAGCATGTTCTTGTACTATGAATTACCATACCACGTAAACGTGTGTTCTGTTTTATAGTTGTAGCGTATAGTCAGCATTCTGGCTGAGAATATTGCAGATAATGATGTGCCACGCGTCTATTTGATCTTAACAAGTGTATTGATTCACTCAATTAAAATTCTTACTGCTAGAAAGCCATTCGTCGTGTCCATGTATTATTTTTACTAAGTGCTGAAAAGGCCTTAAAATATCAATGCTGTAAAAAGGTATATTTATAAGTACGTATGAAAATTTAATGTACTATAAAATAAATATCATTTTTTACATGACATTTTCAAGAAATCTTTAACAAATTCTGATTAGATGTACAACGGGATCGAAAAATTGCGAATGTTTGTTGAGTTATTCTTTCTCTACACATTCTTCTACTAGAACGTTGCTTTTAGGCATTGTACTCTGTAACTAAACAGTCGCGAAAAAGCAACACAACAGTTCCATTTTTTTTTAATGAATGTTTCCCTTGACACAAAAAATGAGCTAATGCATGTCACAAACTCTTAGTTGTCCAAGTCGAGATTATTGTCATTGTTACTGCATAATGTTTTACGCGCCTCTATCCACTATAACTTTATTTAAGAGATTTGCTTCCAAATTTAGTGTCTGTTTCCGATAGAACTAAGCCAGATAGGGAAATTTTGAATTTCCCAAAGCAAACCAAGTTCAAAAGGTTCCGATGAGTTGAAAGCCATGGTCATCCTCTATGTAGAGTTGGCGAAGTGAAGGGAGACAGGGAGACGGTTCTTGTGATCATGAGCAAAGGCGAGCAACAGATCTATTTAATGCCAGTAGATTTAAAAGAAAGACGTAGTTTACGTTAATTAGCAAGTCTAGA